AAATTTCATTATATTTTTAAATCGTTATTATTTTTGAATGAGATTTTTACTTTGATGCATCATTTTTAATTTCCTCAGTCATTTTCTCGTACATAAAGAATAATTATCTCATAAACCATATTATGTGTCTGGTATTTTTTATTTGTGCAAGTTAGCAAATTTTAACGTTACACTAAGTTAAGTTAGTTTTTCGCCCGTTTGTCCTAACTTAACGAGTGAACGATAAAATACCAGTAACTTTTAACTTAACTTAACTTTATTATTTTAAAATATTTTAACTTAAAGAGTTAATTATCTCGTTACTTTTTTTCAAATTAAATTTTATTTAATAAGTTTTTTTTTTAAGATTACCGTGTTAACTTAAAGTTAATTTTATTTCAAAAGTATCTAAATTAAGTTAATTTTTGTCAGAAGAATAATATACAATTTCGAATGAGGTTATTACTTTGATGTATCATTTTAAATTTCCCCAGTAATTTTCTTGAGAGTAAATAAAAAATAACTAATAAACCATATTATTATGTATCGGGATTTATGATTTTGATTATGATTTAAATATTAATTATATTCATATTTTTTTTAATTATTCAAAAATATTTTCAACTATTTCGTTTTGCGAATTCTATCTATACACATTACTGGATTACGCCTATAATTTAATAATATTATAATAAATGAATAAGCAACAAGTTTAAAATTATATATATATATTAATATATATTACTAGGTGTACTGTTTTCTAACTAGTAGGTACATTTAATTTGTGATCATATTATGAACCTTGTAATCAATTTTCAAGCCTTGCCCATAAAAAATTAACATGTAATTTTGAACTAAAAAATAATTTGCACACTTTTGTAATTATTGATGTATTTTCTTGAAATTTGCACTTTAAACACTATTAGGTATGAAATAATATTGTAAATTCATATTTTCGGTATTTTTAAATTGAGAGGATACTACGCCCGCATGTGTTGCCTCCGTCTTACAAATGTACAACATAGCAAAAACTGTTTTTCCCGGGAAAAAACCGAGAAGGCTACAGTCATAACAAAGAAACTAAATTTTCACCACATAAAAAGAAGAACCTTGGCTGTACAAGTTAAGAATAACTTATTGTAACTCTCACTCTACAGTTTCTTGATCTCGTTGCCGTTAGGCCCGTCGATCTCGTGGCTTCCAACCACGGATTTTGAGTCAATTTTTATATTATATTATATTATATTTCATATTAATATAAATTTAACATGTACAACTTTATAAAATTAGCAACAGAGAATTAACAACGTCAGGTTTTGCATACTATTCGGCGGGATACGGATAAAATAATTATTTTAATTTTCAACTATGTCTATCATCGCGAGATGTTTTAGAAACCTCATATTGCCATAGCTCATAATAACAAATTATAGGCGTATAATAATAAATAATGTATAATATGATTCCCATAACGGTCGCGCCATCTGTGGAACACCTAAGGCGGTCGAAGACAGCTCGTCGGCGGCACATAACAACGATGATAATAATAATAAATAATATTATTATTATTATTTGTTATCATGAAATGTCGCGTAACTCGTAAGCTGCACCACCCTCGCACAGCGGCGGCGGCAACCCTCCCGATCGATATTTCGCCGCCGTCGCCGTTCGTTTTTCTGTTATCATATTATTATTATTTACTGTCTAGCGTCCGTTCGGCGGCAGTTGTAGACGACGTGTCTCCTCGACGGTTGTCGGGCGTTGTTTGGTGTTGCAAAAATCACGCGATTTACGTAAATAATAATATTGAGTTATTGTAATATACGCGTGACTGGTGTAGTGATGTAGTGCGTCGGAAGATATCGATATTATTTATTATTTACAAATCACCATATAATAATAATATAATAATCTTAATTTCTTATTGGTACACTCCACGCGGACACCGTACTATCACAACTATAGGTATGTACCTACGCGAACCGTGTGATGGTCGTGAATCATAATAATTTATATTGCCATAATAATATTATTATAGCCGTCATCGACCGTTTTGCTTTATAATAATAATTCGTCGCTATAAAATATTATTCTATCGATCGGGGGTGTGTTTGTGAGTAAGTATAATATGTGTATGTGTGAGTGCGTATGTGTGCGACCGGAAGACGTCTGTGAAAATTGAAAGTAAACACCACTCGGTGTGTACGTTTTTATTCGTCGCGTACATTTCGACTCACAACAATTTTCACCAATTTGATTACCACCTTTAATACTATAATATTTATTCGGTCGTCCGATCGGTAATTGCAAAGATATATTATTATTATCCTTCTTGTCGTCTGCAGTTTATCGTCCGATACCCGTTCAAAATAATCGACGAATCGATGAATATTTTATATTACTTGTTAGGCCTGTGTAAAAAAACTATTATCTAGTTGGCCTATTATATTGTTGCTCTAATATCGTATGATGGATCACGTTACCAAATTGGCAATTAGTTTAAATAATGTTATTTTAATCTTATTCTTATAAGAGTTTAAGTCAAACGCTTTGTTTCGCATATATTTACATATTATTATTTGAATGATAGTCGTTACCTATATACAATGTTTTACGTCGTTATGGTCATTTATATGATTAGATAACATTTGGTGCTTACATTTGTTGAATTTGAACAGACTTTTAACAATTGTTGGAAAGAATGATTATTAATTTTCGTTATCCAATTTCATTAAATGTTTAACTTCAAATGGTAATTGTTTTTATTTGTTAAGATCTTGTATTTACAGTTTTTCATCTATTATGTTTGTGTTTGTACTTACTTTATATCTATACACATTTAAACATTTTTAAGCCTTAGCTATAACATAATATACTGTATATACGATATTTTAGAAACTATTTAAAATAATTTATTTTAGGTACATTAGTATAAATTATAATAATTCATACAAATGCGTTAAAAATGACACCGTCAACTACCTTGTTAAGTTTAGATTATAAAAAAATATGTAAACAAAAAACATTTACTTTTAGTATTATTTCTAAGCCCATTTTTAATATGACATGTATATAACTCAATACCTAGTATTTAATAATATAATGATTATAACTATAGGTAGAAACCTATAATTATATGTATAAATAAAAATAACATATTGGAATAAACTTAATTTAATACTTGCACATTATTTGTATAAATACATATTTTCACTCTATTAGTTTAAAACAATGACAATTTGAAATCATATTAGTACGCTGTACGATCTTATTTTATTCAATAAATATTTTTTGGAATTAAAATCTACCATTGGATTAATAGGTATTAAGTTGTTTATTGTGCTAAAATTAAGTAATTGAATATAGTCTGTTAATAGTATGAATACAATCCAGTCAACAAAACTTCAGTAGGCTATTACAATACGTAGTACCTAATTACATTTGTATAATACTACTGTAATATTATCGACTATCGTATATTCGTATCCATAAACTGGTCTTGTGCATTTCTTATATAGTTTTTTACACTATAATCTAGTATCGAATTTTCAATAGAAATATCATAATTATTGTGCTTATAAATAATTAAATAAAACAATTTACAATATCAATATTTTTTTCGATTAAAATAAAGCATAATTATACATTTTGTAGGATTTTTCAAAATAAATCTTTTCTTAAATAATTTTAATCCGAAAACAATCGATTATCTACAATCTACAGTTAAATATATTTGGAAAAGATGAAAGATAATTCAATATGTATATCCACACGATTTCTGACACAGATGATGTAGGTGCGTATTATTTAACATTTCGTATTATATTTTACGTAATATTTTCAGTGTTAAATGGCGTTATTACATGCACGTTAATAATAATTGTTAATAATATAATATATACTAAATATATGACTCATTAAGTAAAGTTATGTCTACGTAATCACGATAATTAGATTTAAATTATTGATGCCTAAGTACAAGACATCGTCAGAATTGAACGATTTTTACTTTTTTACGCACATGCCATTTGAGTTTTTCAGCACACACAACCTATGCTATATTACACACAAGCATAATTTTATAACAATATTATACTTGATTTTTATTATTATTTTTTTAAAGCTTGGACTGCTATATTATTATTTTGTATCGTAAACTGTTTTAATTGTTACAAGTGCTTGTTTTTGAGTAGGTAGCTGTATTTTTAACAATTATTATTTGGGCTAGGACGTATATACAATATAAAATACTTACTAAGATATGCAATGAAATTATCAATAATTTCCAAACAATCAATAACAGAAAGTGAAGTATATTTCAAGTTTATTATTGATTAACTAAAAAAACAGAAGTTACTTTTTATGTAAACTTAATAATTTTTATTTTTGACATCACTTTCAAATTGATGCATGGTATTTTTATTAGAGTAGGTATTACTTTCAAATAAATGGATATCATTTTTAATCGTTTTTTTAAATTGTATCACTGATCTAAAGAAATTTTGATTAATTATCAGAATAATATAACGTGACATCTAGTGTTTACATTATTATACATTCATTCAAATATTAGTTGAAAACGCCACAAAATATGTAATTTTCATGTTTAGGTACATAACGAGTTAAGACAATGCAGTAAAATATCTATTATACATTTATTCTGAATATATCAAATTTACCAAAATTTACCAAATATAACCAAATTTGTAAAAGTACGCTTCAAAAAAGAAAAACATACCTTTGCATATAAATCCTAGCCCTACATAAAATATTTTATTTTTTTTTCGGATGACCGCAATGGTCATCATTGTTGATCGTGTTTTTTACATTATTATTATTTTTTATTTCAAAGCAAATGAATGAGCCTTGTTTTGACTTTGGTGGACAAATATTTTTACGCATTTGTGGTTTATTTTATATTGCATTATGTTTGCATGGTTTATTGGAACTTCGGCTTGGTCCGAGTATCGACTTCGAAAATATGAATATTAAATAATCAAAACGTTTTTCCGTAAGTATAGATATTCCGGCGGCAGCGGCGGTAGCAGCAGTGGTAGCGACAGCTCGACGCCACAGCCATCACTAGCAAGATCCGAGCCCGCGACATCCAGACGCCGCGACATCACTGTCCGGGACGATCAACAACAATATCGTCACCATCCGTAATTGCCAATAACAGTACTACATCCAACATCACCACCACAACCAACCCCAATACAACCACCACAACCAACCCCAACACAACCACCACAACCAACCCCAACACAACCACCACAACCAACCCCAACACAACCACCACAACCAACCACAACACAACCACCACAACTGCCACTACCACATAAACTACCACAAACCAATAACACTAACCCCACACCCCCACCACCACCACCGACTGACAAGACAACACAGATATCGCAATGCAGGCGTCCACGTCGCCCGCATTCACCCGTCGGCGGCCGTCCGCTTTGCACGTGGATGGCGTCGGAAGTCAACGCACCACATCCACAACCGCTTTTTCGTCCTTTGACCGTCTGCTAGCGGACATCGCGTTCCAGCGCCAGAGGGAACGGCAACGAGTGGCCGCGAGCGGACGGCAGAGCCGACGACGCCGTGAAGACGGCCAACGTCCAGCTGCAACTTCGGCCACGGGTAAATGTCTTACATAATATTTATGCATATTACTAGATTGGTGGTGGGTTTTCTATAATTTTTTTACTAATCAACCGTTTTGGTGGGCTTATGCCGGGTTGCATAAAAGCGATGATTAAATTAGTTTAATGGTTTGTTTTAATGAATGATTAAAATACTGATTAATTAACCGTGTTGCATAAAAGATGTATTAAACTACTTTTGGTTTATACCTAGTATGTGGTTTTTGATAATTTTGTTATCACCAAATTGAGAAGATAATATTAATTATTAATACAAATCACGATTAAAGATATATATATATATATCTTTAATCGTGGTACAAATTGAAAATATACTCATATATATAATATAATGATAATATTATGGTAATTGCCAATTGGTAACTCGTATCGGTAGGCATATTAGCTATCTTGAGATTTGAGAAAAAATTATAATTGTGTGATAAACCGTTGCATAAAAATTTAGTGAGCCGAAATCTGATCACTAATTTAATGATCTGGTAACCTCCAGTTTAAGGAACCAATAAGTTTAATGACCGTTTAGTGAGCCATTAAATAATTTATTCATTCAATAGCGCGCTATTGGTTCATTAAATGTTTAATGAACGTTTATGCAACCCGGCATTAGTCACGAAACGTGTTCTGAGTGTACTCACCGGACGGTGTCACTAGTTCCCGGATGGGTGACCACCCGGGTTTTAGTGACAAATCCTTGCCACACCTACGCGTGTCTGAACCAACTGCACCCTCCCCCACAGTAACAGGCTAATGACCTAAAATGTTGAAGATTTAATTCCGAAAATTAAAATTAAAAATTGTTATACATACGTGGAAGTAAAATACAGTCGTTATACTGTAGTGCCCTCATTAATTTGAACTTCAGTGATGTTCTCTTTTTTTTACATTTGATTATCGTTGTTAGGATGTGCGAGTAGACATACCAAATTGGTAATGCAAACGAACATCGATTATTGTTCGTATAATATACTAGTTCCGAGTTACGGTTGATTGCTTTCTTATAACATTACATTTCTTATATAATTAACGGCTATTTTAATTAATTTTTAGTGCGCCCTGTAATGTAACGGTATACACTTAGTTGTAGACTATGTGTTGAGGCCTTGAGGGATATAAAAAAATTATAATTATACAAAATTTCAACATTTATAAGCAGTTTGCCGACCCGCACACATTTGTTATTGCGGGCCTGGTCGGTTCACGCGTTTTTAAGCTAATATTTTCGGTTTCGTTCATTTCACGCCTTGTAATGCTTTTCATTTTAATTATTTTAGAAGGAGCAGCGACTAAAACTGGAGTAATATCCACAGGATCTGAGATCGACGACGAGGCGGCCTCGGCGTACTGGTGGACAGACGTATTCCTCCGATACTTCGTGTTCGACGAGGACTGCACGAGGACCTCCACCACGGCCGACTCAGATGATTTGTTGTTTTTCGTGCGGCGCCGGCGAAATAAGCGCAAGTGCACTAAGCGCCGACTGTCCTCACAACGTCGGCGACGGGTAAGGATGCAATGATGCATATTATACATGTACCTAATATCCATAACCAAGGACTAAGATATCTTAGTCCTTGTCCATAATCCATCAGGGACGTCTCCAGATCAATTACATGGAGGTAGGGGGCATTTTAGTTTTGAATACCGCTTTGCTAAACAAAAACTTAAGATCTATATGCTTATATAGTCTATATGTTTGAAGTTTGTATCAACGGTCTGTATAATCAGTGTACAAACAATTAACAACATTTATAAAACTTATCTATCTATTAGCAAAAACAGAAAATCTCACCCCCTTCGCTCCCTTCATCAGGGACGCCAATGTAACCCATCCATATCTGTTTTATTATTTCGAATTCCAAAGTAAAATTGTGTAGATTATAGTTTAGACGTTTAGAGATCTTATAATATTATATTATTACAAATTGACTACCAAATTACTACATTAATATATTGGTAAAGTTTTAAATGTGTTGTTATTTATTATGCTCAGTGATAAAATGTTATCTTAACAGACTAAAACAATCACAATTTCCATACTATTCATTAAATCAATCTGTCCTATAGGTACGTTTTTGATACTCTGTTTACTCTATCAATTTAAACTTTGAAGATATAGAATAGAATATATAGAATTATTGTCATAAAAAAGACAAAAAACGTCTTTGTGTTCCGTCCAACTCGTCAATTCGATAACTTTTTTTAGTGCTATACGGCTATACGGCTTTATTACAATAATATGTATATTAATGGGATCATTGGAACAATATGCTACTTTGGTGCTATATCACCGTTTAATAGAGCTCGCCCGCAGTTAGATATATGATCGTAATATTTTCGATTTTTCTTTACCCCGCTCACCTTGGCGTATAGGTCACTTACGACACCCGGGCTTACCGAAAACAACAGCACAACCAACAGCAGCAGCAACAACAGCAGCAAAAGCCGACCATGTTGCCGATCGGCGATCCGGCCGTCCTGTGGCGGCACACGGTGTGTCTGAACGCCATCGTCCATCGGCTACGGTACACGCTCACGGTGGCCGTGTGTGCGCGTGTACCCAGGAAGGCAGCTGCCTCTGCCTGTTTCAGCGGCTTCGACGGATCACGAGAATTCGTATCAGCCGAAGGGCAAGAAGACTGCGAATACGACCTGCAGCTGCTGTCGCGCCACGTACACGTCAGTGTTTATTGTCTCTCGGACTTAATGGATTATTTTAACGTGGATCTTATATTTCCTAATTAATTTTTTAATTGTTGATTGTTTTTTTCTTTTTTGGCAAACGATGTTGAAACGAGCAGACAGTGTACGCATCGACTAGTGGTCGACGTATGGACGCGGCGAAGGGACCTAGAGAGCGGCCGGTATACCCCGCCTTGTGTTGGGCCGTCGACGATTTCGCCGAGGTAGGTACTATATATTATGTTGTCACCATTGATTATGAATACTTTAGAATTATATATCAATGGTTATCACTTATCATGCAAAGTAATATTTTAAAGCGTATCATTTTGTCAACGATACCAGTGATACCAGATGTGTATCATATATAGTGACGCACAGTAAGTTGTAAACGTTTAATATTTTATAACTTGCTCATATTTTCGTTTTTAACATAAATTCAGTATTAGAATAGTTAGAAATAGTTAACTCAGTCGACATGTTTTTCAGATTTCTATTGTTAAATTAATTCTTCAACTAACCTAAACCTAAACCTTTTTAGAAATAAGATTCTCTAATAGTATAATAGTCTATTACAATTTGATTAAATTTCAATTAGAAAAAAAATATATAAGTATGTATTTAAAATAATTTTAAATTCAAACACCAATTAATAATTATAGTGATCTCATATTTTGTTAATTGAGTTTTGTTGTCAGTTGCCAAGTAAATTGTATATACTTTTTAATTGTCACTAATAATATTTAATAATCTCACATCGTCTTTAATGCAGGCTTTCCGCACGGTGGTTGTACGCCCTGGACAGACAGTCTGCGCCGAGCTGGTGGCAGCTTGGCCAGGTCCGGAAACCATCGTCGAAGAATACCTCAATAATGACATCGAAGACGGCAACGACACTGATGAATACGATCTGGATGGCAGCAATAGCAACCTGTTCGGTCGTAATAAATCCGTGCCCGTGAAAGTACAACAGAATCTAAACAGAGCTGTTCTGTTCACCGGCGCCGTCCCTTACGCTGCGGTGCGCGCAGCATACGAGTGCAAGGTAATTAGATTAAGACTTACCATTACACCACAATTTTTTTGTGTAAAAACGCCTCTACGTAGTTAGATTTTCATTTTTCTTAAAATGTCGTTAAACTTGTCTACAAAACCCCTAAAAAACGCATGTGAAACATTTTCCCAAGTTTTAAACTTGGGCAAAATATATTGGACAACATTTAAAGAACGACCTAACCCGGCTTATTCAGTGTGAAGGGAGGAGAATAATTAAGAAAAATGTATATAATTTATAGTCTCATGTCTCATGTAGAAAGTGTATCTATCTATAGACTATATTATCGTCACATAAGTTATAAGTAATGTTTGTACTTAAATATATGAACCTGAATTTCTGTACTATTCGTTGTCATCGATAAATAATTTATAATACTTGCTGAAAATTCTGAACTTGTTTGATATACTTTTAGATCGATTAAACTCATGAGCCATTACTCATTTCAATAAGCAAAATTCAAAATTTTTACAACACCAGTTTTGCTTACCCATAATTTCTGACTTTGATATTGTCCTCGAAATTACTGTTGAGTTTAATACTTTGTTACGTAACAACACTCGTGTTTAAGACTTAGAGACCATGTCCTGTTCACAGATGAGCTTGTACCGCGACGCGGAACGCCAACGAAGGAAACGGCGGCGTCAACAGCAACGGAAACGGGGCGGCAAGAAATCGTCTCTAGGCGCCGCCCTGTCCGCATCGCTGACGGCTCTGTTCGTCAGTGGCAAAGACTCTGCCCCGTCGTCAGACTGTGGAGATAACGATTATTATTACGGCTCTGCGTCTTCCACAAACGCCACCGTCGCCGATGCCGATCGCGTCGAGTACGTGACGGTGCGTGGTTGTCGGCCGAGTTGTGACAACGACGACAGCGGCGGTGGCGAATTGTCATCGGACGAAGAAAATCCCGGCGCAGACGACTTCGACTTCGGCGACGTCAGCGTCGGCGGGGACGACTCCTATGACTACACGAAGGGCCTGGCCCAGATGGCTGTCACGCTCGGTAAGTACAAACGCCTTTTTTTTTACAAAAAGCTATCGTGTTACGTCAGTGTTTGTGATTATAATTATCATTGTTATCATTATTCTTATCTTGATTTTTTTTTATGTAAACGTCAAAGAAATATGAAAACGAGAATTCGTCCAATACGACTTTAACCCAAAATTCCAGATTTGTAAAGATGAGATCTGAATATAGGAGATAATACCAAATACTAGCTAATCTAAATCAATTGTTTTTGTTCTTTCTAATCTCGAATAGGATGTCAAAAAAATACCCAAACGTGTTATTCGTACTATGGTCAGAATACCATATATGAACTGTCTTTAGATAATATAATTCTGGTACACTTAAATATTTTAAATTATAAGAATAGTTTTATAACAATTTTAATGAAAAATATCATTATGTAAAATATGAATATTTACTCATAATATTATATACTTTTAATACACATAATATGGTGGATGGTTCATTTTAAATTATTTTTAAAGGGATTCGAATCGGACTTCTTTTTTTTAAATACTTTATACTAAATCATCTAAATATGGAATATGGATTTTTAAAACCTGTTTGGATTATTTGTCTTGAACGTTTTAGATCCTATTGTCATAGTGGGTAAGGTCATAAAGATTGTGATATTCTCAAACCCAATTATACCTAATTTTTCATTCCACTTTTTTTTTTATATAATTTTTTTTTTAAGGCGCTTTTTGGATTTGTAGTATTTCAGATACATTTTTTATGCATGTCATTTGGTAATTTTTCCAAGCGAATTTGTGTATATGCCTCTATTTATGCATGACGTTTTCCAGGTTAATATCATACTAGCTAGGTACTATAATTTCATAAAGTATTTTTCAAGTGGAATGTCCCAATACGTTATTTCCAATTTGTAATATTTGCACTCACTCTTCAGTAAAAATAAAAACATATATAGCCATATAGGTATGTACATTTTAAACAACACATTAAAATTACAGCACAATACAATGTATGAAATGCGCACAATTGATTTAATCTGGAACGAATACTTTGTAGTTTTTATATTATTATTTATATACACTTGGGAAACGCATTTCAGTATCTATTATTAAATAAATTATTAAGCTTATAGTGTCTTAACTAACTCAATAGTATTAAATAATAAAAAATATTTAATTGTGATTCGTACATAATAATTAGATAGGTAGGTAGCACTGTATTGAATAATTGCTATCTAAATTACCTAATGCATACACAGGTATTTAAATATTTTAAAATTATATTTGCATCACTATAATATTGTGAAAATTACAAACCACACATTTTGTAAAAGGACTCTGCTTAAAAATAAATCCAATGCATATCCCAGCTCTAATCTAATTAATATGATTATTCTTAAGTCACAACTTCATACACACATGCTATTTGCTTGTACCTATTTGTTTATTTATTATACATTTACAGTACAAGCCCTTTGTATACATTATGAAACACACAGCATACAATAGATATTACTTAAATATATAATATTATATTATATAAGCACATACGTATACAATTATGTGATAGACCTACTGAAATGTAATGTTTACTTTTTGTAGGTACCCATAGTATCATTAGATTAATGTATCAATATATTATTTATTTTGCACCATTCATCGTCATTAATCATTATAACATTCTCATATTATGTTCGGAACATTGCAGTCGTGGATTTAATTATTTTCTGGGCCAATAAAAACACGTTGAAAAATTTGTTTTGGATTAAGTAGAAACATCGATCTAAACTTAGTTCAATATTAATTGTTTGTTTCATTGTTTGCGCAAAAACGATATTTTATGGTTAGTCTTGTAAAGTGGTTTGACCGTTTTCGACATAAGATTAGAAACTTTACGATACATCACGTGCCGATGTATACATCTGGTCTCGTGTTATTTCTATTAGATTCATAGTAACGATTCACACTATGATCGTGATTTAAATAGGTAACGGGAATAGCGGGGTGTACATGCATCCGGACAGCTGTTTTGGCGACGAGCTTACCATCTTATAAGCACGCATCGGCATCGTCGTCCCGCTACCATGTGCATGACTCATGATTTAAATTTTAAATTGTTTTTTTGTGGACACTCCAAGGTTTCAAATGTTTGTTTAGGGATTTTTTTCATTGGTGTTTAGGCCGGGGACGAACGATGACTTCGGGACATATCGAAATGTTCGTTCTATTTATGGTCATAAAGGGATGCGCTGACCACGAGCTTATTTTTGCCCACCACCGGGTTTGTTTTTAAATGGACTAGAGTATAAATATTTCCCCATGAGGTACCAGACCTTGAAAAATTAAACAGTAGGTATATTGAGTTTATTAATATTTTTTTTAGGATATGTACGATAATGTATTTGGTTAATATTCTATACGAGTTTTACCACTCAAAGTCCCACGTGTATATTTTATAGTAATTTGCGCCGTATTGATATTTAACATCAGAGTAGTAATATCCATAGTAAGGTTTCAAGTACGTGTATATATACTAGGAGCAGTCACTGCTGATAGTTCACAATCTATGGAAATAGTGTTCGGGAGAGTCAAAACCTGCACTCCGTACAGAAGACGACACTATGTTTTGTGATCTTCGGGTGGCGCTAGGACGACCAGCCGCTATCAGCGGAGCTATAATCCATAGCCCAAAATCCAAATATTTATACCTTAGTAAGTATCTCTGTGTAATGTATATTGTAGTTGTAGACTTAGTGTTTCGCCAATGCATGTGTATGTAGGTAAAACCGTCGTAGCGTATTATAGTAGGTAATAGAGAAACAAATACAGAAGTGTCACATGATATTTTAGAGTTGCCTTTGATTATCGTCGGGACTGCTTCTTCTCATAAAAAAATTTAGAAATTTTATCTTTAATTACAAAATGCTCTCCCATACAATACTTTGTCTGTACACAATGGGAACTGTGAACTTCTTCCGCCGCTGCAAATGTTTGACCTAAAAAGTTAGTAAAATGTTTGATAATGTAGAATAGCCACTTTAATTTCATAAAATATTTTTAAATTGGTATAGATAGATTATTAGTTGTTTTTTTGTTTTAGTCATACACACGGTTTTAACAGTTCTTACTCCATATTTTGATTAGAAACATTTATTTTAAAATTATAACAAATTTATTTGGAAATAATTTAGGACATACCTACCTAATATTTATTTTGTGTGATTATTAAAAGTATTAATATTAGATAATATTATATAAATAATTATTTTTGACAATATTGATTATTTATTGGTATTGTAGAACATAGGTATTATTATAGGTCATACGATAAATGGTACCGTCTAGGCTATAGGGGACACACACATATTATGTCCAGCTATCACATTTTCGTTGTGAATATCAATAAATTATTTATAATTCTATACGCCTTTAATCATTCATTTTTATATAGTTACATTAAAATAGATTAGTAAATACTAAATTGTATTTAATTTATACATTATACCTTCTATTTCAGCCTCGTCATAACGCATCGTATTGAATAAACCGAGCGCAAGTGTTTTGGGTTATATAAGATAGTAGGTCCATCAAAAGCTTATTATTACAATAATTATTATGATAATAATAATAATTACATTATATATTACATAACATTATTCTTACGAACGGTAGCATTAACACAACATTTCTGCTTATATGCGGATATTTGTATTAAATTAATTATTTAACAGCACCAATACAGCAAATGGAAACGGCCACCTCGGGTGTCTATGGTAATTCTGAATACCACGTCCACCACCACCATCATCACCATCACCATCTCCATCACCAACAGTACTGTGGTGGTGGAGAGGACGATTACGGTGACACCAGATACGATCAAGACCCTGATTTTACTGCCAGCTCGTGTTATGACCACGCAAATGATAGTTACACTCCAGTGATTGGTTACCAACAACAGCAGCTCGAGTCCTACACTGGAACAGCCACAGCTTCTGAACCTGGAGACTACTATGATTACGGGTGGGACTATGAAACGGCGGCCAGCAGCGAGCAGCAGACGCCTCAGACTCCATCCTATTATTATCAACAGCAACAGCAGCAACAACTCGAACGTCAACGACGTCGGGACGGCAGACCGGTAATTTATCGTTCGTTATTCAATAATACATTAGAACTTCTTAAATGAAATCTATTAGATCGGAGAAACATATTTCATTTTCATAAGTTCCATTAATTTTAGTATTGAAAATTCAAAATGGTTTATAACAGTATACTAGATTTACTGGGAATATTAAGTGTATTTCTCCATTATAATTGGAGGTCATCTTGGCCAAGTAGTTCCAATACGATGATAATAATAATAATAATAATATTTTTACAATATAATCATCCTTAAAACAGATACCTCTATAAAAAGACCTATATTGGTGATATGATTTCGGGACGTGATATATTTCCAAAACAATTCATAAAATCTAGCCACATATAAATAATCTATAAAAGCCTTTATAATATTATCAAAATTGTACAAAATACATTTATTAATTCTTAAGTAAGTTCGAGCCTAAACTTGTATATTTAACCTGCAATGCTATGTGACTGGGCTATACATTTTAAAATAAATCCAATTACTCATTAAAGTATAGGTACTACTTATCTATTTTAATCATTTTACTAATTCTATACAATTTTAGTTTTATCTTTCATATTCAAGCGTACATTCATTAAATTATGTTTAAAACATATTTAAAACATTATTGTTGATAAACATTTAAAAAATTTAACAACAATTTAGCAATGATACTTTTTTATACTACAAAATAAGAATTTTATATTTTAATTTTAATAAGTGTTTTTATTGATATTATCTGTTTTAATTATGAAAATAATAGAGACGACTCAGTGACCCATGCTCGACATCTGTTTTTGATCAACTGGATGACGATGACCACGGTACAGATCAACTTCACCAGAACTATCAACAACAGCATGATATGAATAATTATAACAGCATGTATGGAAAGAAAAGTAGTCGAAAACAACAGCATGACTACAAAAACCGATTACAACAGCAACCAAATAGATATGGAAGTGTAAGAGGATTATCGTCGGTAGCATTGACGCCAGGAAGATCTGGAAAAATTCAACATCCACATCGGGCCTGGTCTGAGAGCGATGGGTTGGATCAGTGTGGTGGTAGCCTTGTTAAACAAAATCGAAATCAGCAAAAACCTCAACTGCTACCACCTCCACCTATACCTTATTATTGTGCCGCCGAAGCGGCCGTATCGGGTTTTGTGCAATATGTGCACAAGAGTCCAGGTGGCTGGTGGACACGAACCAAAAACAAGCGGCGTAGAAGACGTTATAGGAATATGAAACGAAAGCCAAATGGAAAGATTATCACAACCATGGATCGCCGTCGAAGTTCCAGTGCCGGTGGAAATGGCTGCACCATCACCGATGACGAGAATAGTGACGGTTCAGGTTCGGGTTCAAATTCTGACCATGGCGAATCAAACTCTGATGAACAAGACAGTGATGGCGAATTTATTGGCGTGCTTGCTGCTGCCGCGGCATTTGGCCAAGACCCTGACCGAGAATGGTCGCAACGGGGTAACGCCGGTGATCCAGTAGCTGATTGGGACAGATATGACTGTGAAAGTGACTCATCTGTAGAACACGAAGATGATGATATGGTTGAATGGACGACCGAGATTATGGCCACTGATATAAGGCGTAAACCACATCAAAACTGTAAGTATAAAATTATCACTATAAATTACAATAAGCAATTTAAATAATAAATACATCGTTAGTTAAAAATATGTATGCTCATATGTTACAGGTTCAATAGTATCTACACCAGCGAGGATAGTACACGATAATTACTTACATTTTTGTGATACACAGTCATTGACACCTGTCTTTATGAACCGTCAACTGCACCATCAATCAAAACAGCAACCCGTTGGTCACCAACAGCAATTTCATCGGCAACTACCACTACCGCAATTCCGACCTCAACCACTCGAACCCCCACCACCACCACCTGCATTGAGCGTCGCATTTACTGCGGTGGCCTGTCCATGGTGGACGGTTCTAGAAGGTGAGCTAACTTACATTTGTTAAATTTTGTACAGAAAGTAAATTAATTATTGTTTGTTTGTTTGGTTGAATAGACGTGCTGCACGTGAATGCCAAAACTTCTGGAGAGCTATCGTCATCAAATAAAACAGGCACGACGTTACCTCTCCTCACGTTTGATTAACAACTATAAACCATATTAAACTATCTTCTATCAAAACTGGATTCGTCGATAAAATAATCAATAAAAAATGTATATATATTAATTTGGTGAATTCGTTAAAAATCACCAACTGTGCCCTGGTGATGGCGTTAAACTCACTACTTTCTCGTCGATCATATATGTACATTAAATATGTTTCTGTGATGGAAGACAAATATTGTCCTACTTCTGGAGCAAGAAAAACTTGTGAATAAACATGGACGGCGAGTAATTAGTTTATCAATTAAACTTTTACAAAGTGTATATAAGTAATATGTATATTGTGTATTATACTGTGTTGATAAAATAATATAATGAACACTCAATGTATCAAATACAAAATAACTAATTAAGAATGATTAATATTAAAATTTAAGAAGACATTATTGTGTCAAAATGGATTTCGGCTGCAGTTAAAAAAAATCCACCAAGACTTTGATTTCAAAATTATATATCCCAGGCGACTAGACTTGATATACACGCTACATTGATCATGAAAAATATTTTATTGACTCGTGGTTGAAGACTAGTTTCATCCGACTGCCTTAGTGTGACCACCAAGATGAATAAACATACATCATTGAATCCATATGCTGATTAGTAACAGTAACTAAGCCTCAGCCATGGTTTAAATATAACTACTTCCATCAACATCCCAGTGACCCTTACAATGGTTTATTTCATGGTAACAAAAAGTAACATATGACTCCTGACGAACACCAACTGCATTACCGTCTGAAGATCACTGTTGTTGAAATCACTTGACCAATCATTTCTAGGGGGATGGAAATGAGAACGTTAGTTATCCGAAGAATTTTGTGAGCTTACTTAATAATAATTTATTTTGTTTTATAAAAATATATACTAATAAATACATTTGTTTTTGGTTTTTCAGTAGACGCGCGTTCTAACAGTTTTTAAACCCATTACCAACGAACACGTGTGTAAAACGCTGCTCAAGTTCTGGAATCAACAGTCACATAATTTAGATTTTAATGTAAATAATTCTATACTCAATACGCATGTCAACCCGGTATTCTATTAACTATACATCACCAGTCACCACACCACCCATCACAACATCCAACCATTTCAACACCCCATACACACTGACATTTTAAAGACCCTTGCATTACAGCTCAGATCACTTGTTTATTACTAAACCACAGTTACTCGGAAGAACTTTTCATCTACAGCTTGGTTCTAACGTTGGCTATGAAAATGCAAACTGTGCTGAGAATTAAGACGTTGTGATGCTAATGGTGGCAGAATACATATTGTAAATGACCGATAGGTAAGATTATTACTCAAATAGTTTAATTCTTTGAAGATTGTAAATAAGTTAAAATAAAATTTGTCAAGATGTTCAAATATTTTGAGAATTCTACACATTGGTTTTTGATCAAAATTGAAAACCCGTAAAAACCTCTTTTTCCATAATAATATTTTCTTGGCAATTTTCCTTTAAGCCGGCCACATTAATTTATTTATTTTTTTCATTTAAACTACAAATTTTGACAAAAATCTCTTGAACTCTTACTATACTCTGTCCAGCGAGAGAACGTGCCGCGCACCGACCAAAACTGGTTCCCCCACACAACACTCTGCATAGGGAACCGGTTTTCGATAGCAAGGAGCCGGCGGGGAATGCGCAGAATCGGCCCGTCTCTCGCTGGACAGAGTATAGACACATATTTATCTAATCACAATCTTCTTCAAACCATGCGTGTTCATTTGAAATTAACGTCTCTTTTTAAAATTGGATCTACACCCTTATATTCACTACTGATCGGTGGTGAGGTGTTGGTGTTGGTGTTGGTACTCTATAAAAACGCATAACAGAACCCAGGTTTGTTATCTCAGTAACAAAAAGACATGGTAGAAAATGGCTGTAGAAAAACTTGTGAAATAATTCAGTTTTTCAGGTACTCAAATTAGTATAAGTAAAAAAAAATGTAAATTCACCCTTAAAAAAAATATTGTTATATAATTTTTAAAATAGGTACCTATGTGGATTATCTTTAAAATCAGGTAGTCATTATTTAAAATTTTTCTTGAATAATTTGTTATGTTTAATAACTGTGATACGTCACCGAGATAACAAACCTTGGACTTTGTTCCTTTAATATTCAGATTAATTTAGTTATTTTCTAAAATGTTGTACTCTAGCCATGCAAACTAGAAATATGAGGACCATCTCTGTACTCGAAAAACATTTAAAATTTTTGTAAAATTATAAATTGTTATATTAGACTAAGTTTTATATGAATAACTACTAATATTGTTTAAAACTGTTTTTACTTATACCACGATGGTTTTGTATATTTATTCGATTTTAGTTTAAAACGTGTTTCTGTAAGTGCTCTCTTACTCAATGATATTGTTAAAATATGTACTATTTTATTATTATTATTCATTACAATATACTTTATTTGTATTTTATCGTATATACAATTGAGTTATTTGTTTTTATAAATATGTCTGTTCTATTTAACTCATACAATAGTTCAGAAAAAGAAGGTTAATTACATATTAGGTATCTCAAATTGACCAAAGTATTGATGATCGGTTTTCCATGTTGTTGACATGTGAAGTAAGTATTACTATTGTGTGTGGTATGAAAATAATAAAATGGTATTGTGAAATGAATTATAGGTATTCGTTTTCTCACTAAGAACGTTGAATAAATACCTTTTTTTTTTAAATCCTTGCAACCTTTGAAAAATATTAAAATGTTCACTACCTGTGTTTATTTATTTGCAATAATATTTTTAGGATGATATTAGTATCTCAAAAATTATCTTATGTTTAATTTATGATGTTTTTTTTCACAAAAGTAATTATATTGAACATTTTTAGTGAGAATACGAGTATAAATAAGTGTAATTGATGACATTTTCTAGTTTCATAAAATATGCAGTTGCAAATCATTGAACAGAAGTAACTTTGGAAAGATACCGTGAGGATGACACACAAGGTACATATTTAATTGACATAGATAATATTACTACTTATTAGTTGCTAATATTCATTGTTTACTGTTGTTATTTTTGGTTACTTGTACATGTATGATCTCGGAGCTCACTGAAAGAAAACTGCAACTGAGCATAGCTGCAATTGAGTAGCTAGTATCAACAACAGATGATGGAAAAAGGTGGTGGCTAAACAACAATACATTCGATATGATAACAAAGGTTCTTAATGATCTTTTTTATGATAATAAGGTAAATTTATAGTAGATACCTACATAATATTATACTCAACCGCCACTTATTGCCTTTGTTTGTTAATATATTCTATAATTCAATTCATGGTAAGACGACCTTCATCAAACAAATATACTAAAGAGTGGGACATCTTCTTAAGTTGGATTAACTACCGCTGACCATCACTTAACAAAGGTTCTTAATGATCTTTTTTATGATAATAAGGTAAATTGATAGTAGATACCTACATAATATTATATTCAACCGCCACTTATTGACTTTGTTTGTTAATATATTCTATAATTAAATTCATAGAAAGACGACCTTCATCAAACAAATATACTGAAGAGTGGGACAGCTTCTTGAGTTGGATTAACTACCGCTGACCATCACTTAACAAAGGTTCTTAATGATCTTTTTTATGATAATAAGGTAAATTGATAGTAGATACCTACATAATATTATATTCAACCGCCACTTATCGACTTTGTTTGTTAATATATTCTATAATTCAATTCATGGAAAGACGACCTTCATCAAACAAATATACTGAAGAGTGGGACAGCTTCTTGAGTTGGATTAACTGTCGCTGACCATCACTTAACCAAGTTTTAGGCTCCATTACAACAACAGAGACTGCGGTTTACAACAAAAATGTGTTGATAGTATGTTTAATGTTTATCTATTATTTATACTTTGCCAACGGTAATTTTAATTTGACATTATGTAATTAAGTGCACATTAATTTTTATTTAAATAGGTATTTGATGTATCTCAATAAGACAAACCAAACTACCAATTACTAAATATTAGTTGTCCATTGTTATGGTGATCTACCATCAAAGATCATCAATCACAACCTGTTTTCATATTGTAGTCTATGCATAGTATAAAGCTGTTCAATTAGGTGAGTTATAATAATATTATCATACAGTCTCTTTCAATATTATATACAAGAAGCACTATTCCACTATATAATCGATTCATTATTTGTTTATGTATTTTCTTACGTAAGTACACCAAAGCCACGTGTGACGACCATCGTAGATGTGTAAATGATGGCCGATGAGTGCACATTTCGAATATCTTCAACCAAAGTTCTACCAACCACCATAATGTTATAATCATCGTTGTAATGAGCATCAATGGTAATAATGTTGTTAAATATTACCTAGTGAAGGTTTTAATATGTTATACTTGGAAGTTTCCAGATTAGCAAGTATGCCATGACAACGCTTAGGCGGTGAAGACATTCAACAAAGTACAAATACTTGTATTTGTGTGAAAAATTATGGCTGTGAGTCTTTAGGATAACTTATTATTTTACATTTCATTAAACCTGTTCAGAATCAGAATTGGTTTATTATGGTATTAATACAAGAGTTTTATGTAATATTATAATTATTATTATTATTATTAAAATATACTTGTTGGGTGTTTTTCCAGATACTTACACATCGAGATTTATAAGGTTCACATACAATATATTTATATAGGTGCATAGTTACATAAACCATGTGTGTAAATTCACTGCATACTGTTATTTCATTATATTGGTACCAATATTGCATTGTAAACGTGTATTGTAGCTATTATTACCTCATTATAGGTTTAATATTAAGGGTTATCCACAAACAAATCATTATTTTGTATTTAATTACAATATATAAAATACTAGTACTAGGTGTTAATTTTAAATACTAACAATTATTTTTTATTTTTTTCATTTACAGATACATACTTTTGATCCTAATTAACATTCATCGATGAGTGACG